TAGCCATTCTAGTAGGTGTAAATTTGTATTCTTTAACATTTAACATTTCTCTGCCTCAGTATGCAAATCTGTAAAGTAGAAGGATATTGATCTACATTAGAATTTTCCAAATCATATTTTGTAGGATCCTGGTTCATTGAGATGTACTAATAGGTTCCTTGATCAAGTGAGTTAGAAATATGCCGCATACTCTGTTCCCCTCGCAGAGATTCACAGTGCTTATTAAGCTGTTAAAGGCTCTCAGGGAATTTGTTTAGCCAAGAATTACCAAGTCTTTCTGATCATTAAATTCTCCCCTCACTCCCCTTGGAACACCACCTGAGAATTAGATGAAGACAGTTTGAGGAACGCCAGTGTATATTATTAAAGTCCTTTAGATCTATAAAGTATGACACTGCAAGTTTAAGTAGCTCCTGGTCAGCAAGTAATTGAAAAAATTATCTTTCTAAACGGGCAGAATAATTGACATCTTTGAAATTGTTTTTTATAATTTCCAACTCTGTCAATCAAGGCAAGGCATATATGGAGGGATAATTAAACTATATTATAATAGCCCCACTTGTGCCCTCTGTTTTATGTACAAAATATGTTCCTGGAAGTTATAGGATCCTTTTTAGTCCTATACTTTATTTTTTTAAATCAATTAAAAGATCTTTTGAAGGTAGCAAGCATACTAAACGTATCTCCTCTAGTTGGAAAAATGAGAAAACTCTGATTTTAAAAAAGTTATATAAGGTGTTCATAGTTATAGAAATTATTTAGTTTTGGGGCGCCGGGGTGGCTCAGTTGGTTAAGCGACTGCCTTCGGTTCAGGTCATGATCCTGGAGTCCCGGGATCGAGTCCCACATCGGGCTCCCTGCTCGGCAGGGAGTCTGCTTCTCCCTCTGACCCTCCTCCCTCTCATGCTCTCTGTATCTCATTCTCTCTCTCTCAAATAAATAAATAAAATCTTAAAAAAAATTAATTTTAATCTAAGAGCATAGTCTTTTTCTGATTCTTGGCTTTTATTGTTGGTCGGTAATCAATTTATTGACAATCATTTGACTCTGTGACCAGAAAACCAAAAGCATTTGTATTAATTATTTTTTTAAAGTGTGTGTTTATATGCATGCATGTATATATATGTATCAACTCCTTTCGGAGGGGCCGCTGTCCAAGCTCAGTATAATACCATTTTACTGAATGATTCCAAGTGGCATCATTCACATTTTATTCTAAGTAAACGGCATTCCTGCAAAGGTACATTGAGGATGGCACCCTGGTGGGCAGTTCTCTGATGGTGGATAGATTTATGTAAGGCTTTCTCCTTTGTGGGATTATGTTTTCTTGTATTTTCTGATTTTCAGGTGTCAAATATCACAAATGCCAAAGATTTTCTAATCATAAAGCGGGCTTCTGTCTTTCAAGCATTTCACAGATTTACTTTCCCAAATGGATGAGAAAGAAATAATTTCAGAGCTGATACATAAGAAATTATACCTGGGAGTGTGTAATATGTGACATGTACTCATTTGTGCACACATGAACTCATACACCCTTTCGCACTCAGACCCTCCCTCAACTATTTATGTAAGCACTTGGGGAATTTAATGTGTCAGTCAGTGATTGGTCTTAAGTTAAAATATATTTAGCTCACCTGTCATATTGGCAAATCAACGTTTCACGAATTCAGTTTTCTTTGGTTTGTCATTTGGCAACTTGGTTTTAGCTAATTAACCAAAAGCCATTTGAGACTCTAAGTCATCTCAGAATAGTGCAAAATGTTTATGGTTTCATATGATTTCTTGGACTTTTCATCACATTCAGAATACCTTTAGCCAGAAGTTAATATGAAAATTTTAGAAAGGAAATATTTGCTTAGAATAATGTTCATTTTCAGATATAATTTTTGTGATTAGGGAATAGAATCACATTTTCTCTCAGCTCTTAATGATTAGATTTTTAGAAATACGCTTATAAGAATATATGTTGGTTTAATAGGGTCTTACTCTAATCTCAAATTTTAAAATAATGCTTCTAATGCTAATTTATTAAATTATTTTGTATAAGTTAATCTTAAATATCTACTGTATCAAATTAATGGTATTCTCTTTATATAAGGTTTAGAAATTTAATTTCTATTGCGGCTATCTTAAAAGGCAAATCCAGAAAGAAAGGAATATATATTTCCTAGTGTAGAACATAACCCTAGAAAAAAGAAAAGATCAGGTTAAATAAGATTTACCCAACTAGATTTTGGTAAATGTGGATTCTAATTTAGTATCTTAATCTGGTTATAATCTGGTCTATATTGTCTTAGATGTGGGGACATAGGGATAAAATAAGAAATACTTTTATTGGATAATTTTGGTGACTAATTCCAGTGCATTTTTGAACAAAATAATTCTGACTAATAAAAATTTCTAGTAATTATGAAAAGTCACAAAATTTGTTTATATAGTGTGTCTTGGGTTTCATCTGTAGTTTTGGCAATCCCCATCCACATATATTAGTATGTACAGAATATCTTGGAATATGAATTACTGGGTTTTCTAAGTAGTTTTTAGTGCTGTTTTTCTTTAAGTTCTTAATTGAAGTTGCATTTAGATTGATTGTTTTGAGAAAAAGTGCTTCTAAATTGAATTATTGCCAAAGTAAGGAAAACTATATTTCGGAAGGGAGAGTTGTATATTAATATGAGACATTTTACCTTTAGGTTAATGTATTTATTACCAGCCTCAATTTGTCCCATTTAGTTATTACAAGTATCTTTTGTCCACTTTTTTCCCCATTACTTTGATTGGAGCTACAGAGCTGTGGTAGTTTGGCAAACCTTTGTTGGTTTAGTTGAACCATAACTTTATTGGCTCCCTGAATTTTTGTATACCAATGGCCACTTTACTCCAACCTATTTCCTCAGGCTCTCCCACTGATTTTTATTGTTCCTGCCTGTGTTTAGGGGACAAGGAGATAAACTAACTTGGTCATCATTATTAAGTCAACTTTTAAACCTTATTTGACTTTCTATTTTTCTTTTTAGAATAGGGTTTTTTGATCTTAGTTCCATTTTGCCTTATAATCCCAACCATAGTTGGGGGAATCCTCATCTTACCCTTTGGTTTCACTAACAAGGATGTTGACTTCATAATGAATCTTTTTCCTTTCCCCCTTCCTTCCTCCCAAATCTTTGCAAGTATTAAAGCCACTGAATCCAAATTCTGATTGTGTGTTTCCACCTTCTTTTGGCCTTTTAGATTACCCATTTTTGTATTAGAAATTATATGTTAGATTTAGAATAAACCATAGAGCTTACATTAGTAGTAGATGACCTATTGTTTTAATCCTGCGAGCTAATTTAGCTTAGAATTAGTTTATGGTGTTAATGTTATTGGAAACTGTGACTAAAATGTCCAGTGAATAAACACAATTGTATTGATAAAGCTCAGCATTTAGTGGGTCAATTAAAGTTTCATTTCCTTACCTATCCTTACTTCTCTTTGTCTTTGACAATTTTTTTACCTAGTTGAAATGCATTTTACTTTGTTCTCTTACTGTAACACTTAACATAAAATCTCTCAGCAGATTTATAGTCCTGTTGGGTTTGATGAGAAAAACATTTTAGATTAAAAACTTTACAAAATTATCATTCTTTAGTAAACTTTTCTATAGGTAAAAATTAAGCAGAATTTTTAAACTTAAAACATTTCTATTTCATTTAACCCATTAATAGAAAGTAATCTTACTTTTTTTTGAGAGAGAGAGAGCATGTGTCTGTGTGTGTGAGCGGGGGATGGGGGGAGGGCAGAGGGAGAGAGAGAATCTTAAGCAGGCTCCACATCCAGCATAGGACCCGACACGGAGTTGATCTCACCACCCTGAGATCATGACCTGAGCCAAAATCAAGAGTCTGAACTTAACCTACTGAGCCACCCAGGCACCCCTAAAGTAATCTCACTTTAGTGAAAATGCCCCACGCCCTGAACCACTCACATTATTTCTGGTGTCTAATCTGCTTATAGAGAGCTTAAAGAAATGTGCATAGAATTCCCCCTTTTCCATCACACTTGTGTTTTTCACAAGTCATATTGTGAAAACATTTCTCTTGTGTTCTGATTCAGTTAAAATTATATAGCGAAGGGGCACCTGGGTGGTTCAGTCGGTTGAGCGTCTGCCTTCGGCTCCATGTCCCAGCATCCTGGGATCGAGCCCCACATTGGGGTCCCTGCTCCGTGGGAAGCCAGCTTCTCCCTCTCCCACTCTCCCTGCTTGTGACCCCTCTCTTGCTGTGTCTCTCTCTGTCAAATAGATAGATAAAATCTTTAAAAAAAAAATGTAGTGAAATTTTTAAAAAGTAGAAAATGATACAGAAACCCAAATTGGAGGAAAGGGAGTTTGGAGCTGATTATGGAGTAAAGATGATATCAAGGGGATTGGACTGAATTATCCTTTGTGAAAATAAGAAATGAACTACAAAAAAGCTAACTAATAAGCCTTTTTTGTATCTGTTCTGAATATGTTTCCATTTTGGACTGATATGTTAAGCTTCTTAAACTTCCTATTAGAAAGATTTACAAAGATAACACCAGATACTTGGCTTCTTCTAATGATCACAGCAGGGTTTTATAATTATATTCTCTAAATAAATAGTTTTATTGCTCTGGCTTTACCTTTATACCTTGGTAAAATTTTATTTATGGTCTAGATATTAAGAATGAATCACAGCCTGAAGTCATTTTAAGTCCCTTTTTCTAATAAGGTGGGCTACTGAAAGTACTATTTATGACTGTATAACGAAGGTCTGAATTTCTTGATTCTTTTAAGTATTCAGGTTGGTTATGTGGTTATTTGTCTTGTTTTGTTTTTAAATACAGCAGTGCCAAAATGTAAAACTTCTTAAAAAGCATAGTCCAGGGTAAGATAATCTATCTTCCATGACTCATTTATCTTATGTTGATTGTTCTTTAGAGCTGTTTGGTTTATATTGTCATATTAATGTTGACTATTAATTTCTTTCCTACAGCATGGATTTGTGGTATCATTTCTATCACTGTCATTAGCCTGCTTTCCTTGCTAGGCGTGATCTTGGTTCCCATCATTAACCAAGGATGCTTCAAATTTCTTCTTACATTCCTTGTTGCACTAGCTGTAGGAACAATGAGTGGAGATGCCCTTCTTCATCTACTGCCCCATGTAAGAAACTTTTTAATCTTTAAAAAAAAAATATTTAAGCTAAAAGGTCCTTCATTAGCAAGCTGTGTAGCACGCTAATCTAGTATTTGTTTTATTTGCTTATAGGATGAAGTATTTTTCCCATTTGCATAGTTTTAATAGCAATATATTTTTTAAGATTTTATTTATTTATTTGACAGAGAGAAACACAGCGAGAGAGGGAGCACAAGCAGGGGGAGTGGGAGAGGGAGAAGCAGGCTTCCCACGGAGCAGGGAGCCCGATGCGGGGCTTGATCCCAGGACCCCGGGATCATGACCTGAGCCGAAGGCAGACGCTTAACGACTGAGCCACCCAGGCACCCCAATAGCAATATTTTTGAGATAAATTGAATCATTAGGTTTTAAAATAGCAACAAAAATTGGTAACATCAGTTTTACTTTTTCCCCTCACAGTGTATACATACCAAATCACTATGATGTACACTTTAAATATCTTAGTTTTGTAAGTCAGTTTAACCTCAGTAGAGCTGAAATTTAAAAAAAAACATGCTCTGTTAGCAGTTCTGAAAATGAATACTTAAAAAGTTATACCATTCACTGACTTTTATCTGTAAGAAAGCCTTTAGAAGAAATATCTAAGAGGTCTCATAATGCCACAGGCACTTTATTTGTTCAGGAATAGGTTGACATGCTCAGTTAACAATTTTAGGCATTTAGCGCCTTACACTTGGGGCTGTTTATCTTTTCACCTGGCATACCACTTGTTTTCTTCTATTTTAGGACACTTTTTTTTTTTTAAGATTTATTTAGTTGAGAGAGACAGGCAGAGAGTATGCGAATGTGCATTTGAGTAAGGGGAGGGGCAAAGAGAGACAATCATCAAGCAGACTTCCCACCCAGGGAGTACCCTGAGATCATGACCCGACCTGAAACCAAGAGTCGGCAACTCAGCCGACTGACCCAGGTGCCCCATATTCCAGGAGACGCTTCTGATGATAAGATCTTATGCCCACACTCTAGTTACCTTGCTTATCATCCTCCCAGTATTTTATCCAGTATTACTGCTTTTACTTCAAATTATGAAAATCCTGGGGCTTTTTCTTTTCCAAATGTCAAATTATAGGTTTGAATATTTTTTTTAATTCTTACCACCTCCTTCTGGAATATTTGGGAGACAGAATTGTATTTTTTTTTTTTAAGTGATCTCTGCACGCAGTGTGAGGCTGGGACTTAAAGCCCAGAGGTCAAGAGTTGGATGCTCTACCACCTGTGCCAGCCAGACGCCCCCAGAATTGTATTTGTGTGTTTTGTATGATCCTTCTCCCCTTCTTCACTTTTGGTTGAGAATTCCAGATGTGGTATCTGGAATAATATATAGCACTGCCTTAAATTGATTAATGAATCTTAAAATTGTGAATATGAATTTTTTTGGTAAGTTGATGATTTACTTATTTTCCCCTTTATTCCCACCCCTTGCTTACCCTTTTTACCAGTCATCAAGAAAAGCAGCAGTTTTAAAACTAGGCCAAATAAGGACAGTTGAAGTGAGAATAGTCTTTAAGTGCTGTTTAACTTATTTTTTTCTAAGAAGTATTAATTACTTAAAGCTGTAATCTTTTTGAATGGTCTTGCCTTCTTTGCGAAGTTTAGAAACCTTCTCTTGGCCACTAGCAAATGGAGAAGGAATACAAATGTTATAGGGAAGGAAAATACTTTAGTTCTCTAACTTTTAAGGTCACTGTTGTGAAGCTTACTCATTTCGCAGTTAAAAAGTAACTTTGTTTCTGTACATTTGTTTTTGCTAGAGCTTTAAAATGTAGAGAATTAAACACGTTTAAGTATATACTCTGCTGTTGTTCCACAGTATAAGGACAGGTCGCATCTCATTGCTTGTTTAAAATAGTTTATAAGAGAAAGCATAAAAATATAATCAATTTAAGAAAAAGTCAGATGACAGAGAGTCACAGGTTTTGAGCTGCTGGTGAATTAGTTTATTTTTACTAAACGTTAGGCATCTGGGTCTTGTTTCCTTCAGTTTACAAAGGACCCCTCGCTCCTTAATATGTTACTGCTGCTCCATTCTCTCACTATAGGATGTATCTTAACCCCTATAGGCATTTGAGTTTGTGGTCTTCGAGTTACCATGACATGTAATACTTTCTAGGCCACTGAGAACATCAGAATTCAATAGGAGGCTACTTATATTTAAGTGAAATAATATTTAGAGAACCACTTCAAAAATTGAAAGGTATTTTCTGTGTGTCTTCTAGGAGATTATAATCTCAAAATTTTAAAAAGCATTTTTAATTACTTAATTCAAGAAGTTTTTGTTATTCTTATTAATAGTCTCAGGGTGGACATGATCACAGTCATCAACATGCGCATGGGCATGGACATTCTCATGGACATGAATCTAAGAAGTTTTTGGAAGAATATGATGCTGTATTGAAAGGACTTGTTGCTCTAGGAGGCATTTACTTGTTATTTATCATTGAACACTGCATTAGAATGTTTAAGCACTACAAACAGCAAAGAGTAAGTATTTTTTAATGGCTTCTCCCATTTTCTGAGATAGAAAACTTAACAAAAAATCGTTTTCTGGCCACATGCTTAATTGTGATATTGGTATGTATTAAAGGAAACATTGACTTTGATCTTTGTCATTCTTTGTCATTACATTTGTCATTTATAATCAAGATACAGCATTCTTAGTTTTAGTTACTTTGTTGGATTTTTTTCTAGTTGACTTAAATAGGGTAGGAAAAGCTATTGGCCAATTTCTGTTTATTTCAAAAAACCAAAAATGTATAAATAGAGTTCCACTTAGGTCATATTTTCAAGTATAAGTGGCTTTCATTGTCCTGTTTTTCAAAGAAAATGTTTCACACAACACATTTCTTTATCAGAAATGCTAATGGTAGAAGCACTAGAGGTGAGAAGGATTTAGATTTGGGGGGCTTGTAGGAAGGAAATATAATGAAATGAAAGAAATGGTGATGAACCTCTTGGGAGATGATGTTGAGACTATTGATGAAATACCCTGCTTGTCGTGAGCTGTGTTTCATGGCACATTTGTGAGAATAAGATAAATATCTAAAATAATTTTTCCCCTAAGTAATTTCAGGGCTACTACCATTTACACCCTTCCCTTTTCACAGTGGTTTACATCTGTTTCTAAAGCTCTGTCTTGAGAACATCTAACTAACATGTTTGTGATACTAGTGCTGATTATCTTCAGTATACTCTGCTTAAGAGGAACAGTGTATTATGTCTAGAGAACATTTTTAAAAAGCTTATACAAAAAAGAGAACATTCTTAACTTTTTGCTGGTTCACTACAAATATTCAAAAAAAGAAGAAGAAATCTTTTTCCTCGAAGACAAAGGATAGTCATGATCATAATATATATACGGTCCACTCTTACAATACAACCTTTATGTTATTTTTATGTATATATTTTGCTTGTGTATGTATGTGTTTTTTTTTCTTTGAGATAAAATATGGTTAATTTTTTTTAACTTTTTTTTATTATTTTATTATGTTATGTTAATCACCATACATTACATCATTAGTTTTTGATGTAGTGTTCCATGATTCATTGTTTGTGCATAAC